CAATAAGAACTTGAATTTTGAATTGCGCGCCATTTCCATCTGTCAAACATCAAGTGGGCCATATTAGGTACGTGTTTTGTCAAAACATTGACATTAACGAAAATGCCACGTTACACTCTTGAAGAACGTTTATTAATTGTAAAGACATGTTACAGAAATGGAGAAAATTTTACAATGATAAAGCGCGGGTTACGTGAACATTTCGGTATACATAATCGTTCATCGCGGCCCGCTATTAAAAATTTGGTCAACAAATTTGAGCGTACACTTGCATTAAAAGATGAGACAAGTGTTAGGTGTCGTCGTCTAGGAAAGTCTGCTGAAAACATCGTCTGAGAGCCAGTGATAATGAACATCCAAACACGTCCATCCTACATCGCTGTCAGAAATTAAATATCAGTCGCAGTACATTACAACGAATTTTGATGAAAGATTTGCATGTTCATCCTTACAAGATATAGTTGACGCAAGAGATGAATCCAGCCGATCTTAGACAGCGCAGAAACTTTGCGAATTGGATATTGGAACAATACGGAGTTGACAATGCATTCCACAACAAAATTATCTTTACTGATGAGGCGAACTTCCATTTAAACGGCTTTGTGAATGCATCCTGAAAAAGTGACAGTTTGGTGCGCCATTTGGGTAGGAGGGATCATCAGACCTTATTTTTTCAAAATACTGAAGGTGTCTCCGTGACTGTTTATGGTGATCGCTACCGTAGCATGCTGAGAGACTTTCTTTGGCTGGAAGTGAATGGAATGGACTTGTGGTTTCAACAGGATGACGTGACCTGCTACACCGCACGCGAAACAATGGCGTTACTGCAAACAAAGTTCCCAGGTCTCTCGATTTGGAGACCAAAACTGGCCGCTAAGAAATTGCGATTTGACGCCCTTAGACTATTTCCTCTGCAGGTATTTAAAAAGTAGAGTGTATAGGAACCATCCTGAGAGGATTCGACAACTGAAGGAAGAAATCGAAAGTAATATTCGTGAAATCCAGGCGATTTTGCTCGAAAACGTTTTCCAAAATTTTCTCAAACGGAGCCGCGGTGGCTATTTGACAGATATTTTGTTTCATGTTTAATGTCAACATTTTCTCTTGAAAATCCAATGAAATATTTGCATATTTTTTTTTTAATTACTGTGTTTCCTTTGTCATTAAAAATTCAAGTTCTTGTTGAGTCACCGTTTATAAAAAAGGGATAGTAAAAAAGTTATAGAATGTTAAAGTCGAAATGTTAGGAGTGATTTTGTGCTCATACTCTTAAACGAGTTAAAATCTTTATAAACATGAACATGGGATATAAGTATACAGTAAATGAAGTTAGTGGCGTTTATAATTGTTTTATTTCTGTATGTTTTCAGAAGGGTTTCTTGCCCCTTTGACCCGCTACTTTTTTTAGACAATGAAATTCAGTATAGAACAGAACGCCACTGAAATCCTACATGTTTTGGACATTTTTTTTTGTCTCTCAGTATTTGTTTTTGACAGCCTTAGTAACTAAAGTATAGGCCCCAGAAGGAAGGCCATAGTGAGAAATTTTTCTATTGATCTTAACTTAAAACACTGAATATTTGTTCATGATTTTTTTTTACTATTTTACAACTTCACGATTGATTAATAATACAATAATATTTGTAAATGAAGTAATTTAGGCTTTAACAAAACATATATAGGATTTCAGTGACATCCTGTTTTTAACTGATTTTAATTGTCAAAAAAAAAAATAAGGAGGCCAAAGGAGCGCGGAACCTTTATAAAAATCTATAGAATTTAAATATTTCTACACCATTTTATTGGTCATATATAGGTATACTTACGCTCATGTACATTTTCATAAAAATGGGTTAAACTGTTTTAGAGTAAGAGCAAAAAATTATTTTTTAAATTTCTACTCAAACACCCTATCCATTTTTTATAAAAGCAAGTTAACTTAAATAGACTTATTTTTGACCCCAGAAACTGTGGTTCAATTTACTGTACATATTTTGTTTACATCTTGTATAAAATAAAAACCTTGATATATTAGATAAACAACAAAAAAGTTCCGCATGGTTCAATTTCCTATTCGGTCGTGAGAATAATTATTTACTATTCCTGAACGCGATCGACTCATAAAGCTTTCATAAAAAATCAAAGTCGGCCTTTTCCTGGAGGGGGCCTAGCGACGTCTGGGGGGAAGGATTTGTCCCCCTAGACGCGCCTGATAAGCAAATATATTAATCTGATAATCGTGGCAATATCATAATTTTGAACGTAAGAACGTAAGGCCATTAGTATCCTGATACCCAACAGGATAAAAATTATCTGGCAACACAAAATTAAAAAATCTGATGTGTCCAACACATGACTTTCCTATCTAGTTATTATAGGCTTTCTCCGGTTATTTTGTACAACCTATTCGAGCTCCTCTATAAATGTTTAGAGGATAAACTATATACATTTTCCACATACATCTAACTTGAAACATTTTTCAATAGATATTCATTGAAAAGGAAAATATTGAAAAATTTAAATTTAGAACATTTCCTCCAATTTTTCCATTACGATCCATTTTAGAAAAATCATGCAAAAAACAAAAATCATAGAGATCGATATCGCAAACAACTTTTAGTTTAACAATTTTTTTAAAAATCAGAATTTTGCACATTTTGTCGAATTTATCGAATACGGACCATTTCAGGAAAATTTGACATAAAACAAAAATTATAGATAATAATATTAGAAGTAACTTTTAATTCAACAATTGTCTTCTCCAAACGTAAATAACAGATATATTCCATAAAATATAAAAATGGCCTTCCATAAAGTATTCCCCCAGATGTTCTGATTTTGTCCAAAATCATTTCACGTCAGGCCGAACTAAAACTTTACAATTTAATGTGTTTTCCTTTATCCGTTTTTGACTTTTCTTCAAAATTCGAAATTTACACATTTTCTTAAATATCTCAAATACGTATAGGATAAAAATTATAGAGAATTATATATTACAAACAACTTTTAATTAAACAATTTTTATAAAAAAAATATTTTTTTACATTTTGTCAAATTTCTCGAATACGGACCATTTTAGGAAAATTTTGTAAAGAACAAAAAAGATTGATAATAATATTGTAAGTAACTTTTATTTAAAGAATTTTCTTCTCCAAACGTAAATAACAGATATATTCCATAAAATATAAAACTTACCACTTATAAAGTACCTCCCCAAATGTTCCGACTCTACCCAAAATCTAATCTGTTCATTAGACGCCGGAAAAAAGCTTAAGTTAAAAATTTGGTGTTTTTCTTTGTACCCGTTCATGAGTTATCGATGATACAGACCCACACATACACACAGAGACATAATCGCGAAAATAGTCAAAACGGATTCAGGGGACCCCAAAACGTAAAAATCCGTCGAAAACTCGAGGTCGAAAAATATCATGATTCCTATACTTTCCTTATCTGTATACAGATAGGAAAGTAAAAAAAAAGTGCATTTTTGTTATTACCTTTTTTTAGTTTTTTTCATAGTATACTTATAGATATCTTATATTACTCAAACGGGTCCGGTAAAGGATCCTGAGGTGCGAAATTCACAAAAATTTTTTAAACCCTCAAAAGTAACTAGTTCCTATAGTAAATTTTCGAAAAAAAAATTATGGATGAAGCAGTATTTTTCGAAAAAAATTGAATTAAAATTTTACAGGTTATAATCAGAAAACAACTACCCTAAATGACAGATTCTGACGTTTCTGTCTTAAAAATAACAAACGTTGCCAAGTTGTTAATAAAATTATAAGTTTAAGGATTATTTAAAATTTATAAATTTATAATCATAAATTTTTCGTTTGCTTCAAAAAGATAAGTACGGTAATAATCGTATATAAAATGAAAAAATTAATATATCAAACAAATTAATTTTAAAAATGCAGCTCAAAAAAATTACATACAAAATTAAAAAGTGAAATTAAATAAATCACCTAACATGTAATACCTAGACAACTTTTTTTAAATTTTCTGTCACTCAAAACGGAACGACTTCTCGTAGGGTGGCGGCTTCGTCGCCACCAAAAAATTTTAACCCATACCTGGCTACGCCTACCGGCATAGACTCCAACGGCCTGGACACAGCTCAAATTGAAATAAAAAGTCTCACATAACACATTATATTTTTACTTATAACTTATTTTCTTCTCATTCAAACAGAAATCTTAAACTTGGAAATTATCAGTGATAAAAATCAACAATATAGTATGGCAACGTTGCAAACTCGAGGACCTTATGTGTCAAGGACTGACAATTTCATGAATTACTTTATTTTAGGTTTTATGGAAGGAAATGATGAAAAGTTAGGTTAAATCAGTCAAAATATTGTATTATATTATAATATAAATAAAAATAGCAAATGAAACGTATTCTTCCATATTTAATTTCAGTTAAAATATTATAAAAAGTAAGTTACTTCAATATATTAATGCTATAATTATGAAATTCGCACCTCAGGATCCTTTACCAGAACCCTGATATATCTCATAGAAACAGATACAGCACTTGCCACTGTTGCTTCAGTATCAAGAGCATGGCCATCGTTTCATACGAATCACAAGAGCAAAAAAATAAATATATCTGTAGAGCAAAAAATTAGTGAAAAAATATGTCGCTAACCCGATTCTGATATATCTCATAGATATAGAAATACAGCACTGGCTATTGTAGCTTTAATATCAAGCTAGCATGGCTAATGTTTCTCGGTACCGACACGAGCAAAAAAAAATCAAAATTGGGCAAAAAAATAGCAAAAAATTAGCCAAAAAATATAGTATAAGTCGTTCTGCGGGCTTATGACTTTGCCATGCTAGCTTTTATATACATATTTTTTATTAAATCCAAAACTAGTTAAAAATTAAAATTTTTTAAATTAATATTTGTGGTGAAAAACGGGAAATAACTAATTGACCGTTTAAACTAAAAATTACTTTAAAAAAAAGTTAGGGTTAATTTAAACTCACATTATTCTATCTGAGGAATATCCTTATTAAAGCACGTTACATCGATTCTAGCACGATCGAACCCACACGTTCACCATCCCACACGTTTCTAAGCCGACTGAGACCAACCACGGAAACTGAGAAGTGTATTATACTACGCTACTATATTAGTGTAAAACAGAAAGACAAGAGTGGATTGTATTGTCTATTTGGTCAAATAAGTGTTTTGACTGCGATCACATTTATACACCTATGTTAATGTCACTGTATTACGACCAGGCAGGTATCGTACGAATACAGTGCGGCTCAAAGAAAAGGAAACATGTTACGGGGTATCAATTTAAAAATCACAAATTATTTAAATCCATTTCTAGGATAAAAAAAGGGGAATTAAAATGTCATAACCAAAACTAATACAGGGTGTGTACCAATAGTTAATAAAACTTAATAAAAAAAGAATGTAAGTACCTAATAAGATTTTTTGTGTTGAACTACAATGGGTCATCGGGACGTCCTCGGAAGATTTTTCTACCTGGAGCCATGAGTAAAATGACTTGTTTTTTTGAAAAGGGCTTGAAACCTCCTCATCAGAAGAATAATATGCGGCATTTATCGCTGGGTAATTGATCTTGGTTTATAATTTTGTTTTTGTTGTGTTGGAAAAAGTTACCCAACAAACATTTTGGTCTGGGGAAATAATGGCTCAAAAAACTTTCTGCCTTTAATTACACTGATGGCCTTTTAACTTTTACCTACGGCTGACAGTCGGACCACAGTCATTTAGCCATCAATACCAGTTAAAGGGCTTTTAATATCCCTGAGTCACTTTGTCATCATACAGATAAAGGTCCTTCAATGGCTGACTACAGGCCCAATAGTGGCTATTTTTAATATTTCAGCAGTTTATTGGAAAATCAAGGTTTAGTTTGAGGAAAACGATGTTTGAATTACTGAAAATTTGGCAATTAAAACAGTTTTCATTTTACCACAATTCACCTAAATATGGGTTTTTCTAACAGAAGGTATGCGATAATGACAAAAACTTTTAACAAAAATTCACAGTTAATTTATCATTATATGTATTTATTTTACTATTTAACTGGTAATACATAATACATAGCTACTAATAATAAACTAATAATAAAATAACTAATATTACTAGTACGTACTTGTTCATAGTTACATTCCTACCTACCAAACGAAGGTGTTTGAAAAAGAAACACAAACTTTTATCCAGCAACAACGGCATGTCACGTAAGATTTAAAAATAGTTAATAATGACAACAAAAAAGTAACGCACTATCATGAACATAAACATTGAAAAATAAAAAAGCACGTTCAATGAGAAGGCTGACACTAAGACTCATCGATAATTTTTTTAATGTTTGCAGTATAATTTGATACAGCCATTCGAATACAACTATCCAAATGTTCATCTGTAAGTCGATTGCGATATTTGTTCTTAATAAACTTCATATTGGAAAAAGAAGATTCACACAAATAGGTTGAACTGAATAATGCTTTTACTTTCAAGGCAACACGGCATAGAACTGAATATTTGTCTTTACTTACAATAGGCCAGATACATTTGGTACTTGAGACTAACGATTTTAAGGCTAAATCATTTTTAAGTTCTGCATAACACAAGTTGCAAACTGTTGGATATCAATTTACATAAAGGGTGAAACAACAAACTGCGCTACTAAAGCCATTTCGTTGAAATCCTTAAATAGATTTTTGAAAATATTCTTCAGGGTAGAAACTATTTCTACATGATATTTGCTGTCATAGGGTTCTAATGGATTTTGAGATATTTTTTCTGAAATAATAGGAAAATGCTTGGCATCGCTGTTAATTAGGTTTTGTTCCCAAAACTCCAGCTTTTTGATAAATGCTTTTATATCAGAAATCATTTCCGCTAGTTCTTCATCTCTCCCCTGAAGCTGCAAATTAAGTTCGTTTAATTTCTCTGTAATGTCCACGAGAAAACCAAAATCTCTAAGCCAGATTGAATTTTCTAGTTCCGGAGTCGGTTCATCGCGTTGTTTGAAAAATTGAACTATGCCAGATAGGACATCATTAAAACGTTTCAGCACCCGTCCTCTACTTAACAATCGGACTTCAGAGTGAAGGAGTAGATCCCCGTATTGACAGTCAACTTCATCGGCCAAGGTTTTGAATAATCTTTGTAACGCTTGAGCTCTAATCTTGTTCACAATTTTTACCACCAGTTTCATAACGTTGTTTAGTTTCAGGAAATTTCAACACAATGATTGCTGATGGATAATGCACTGGTAACAGAGAAATTGCGTGCGCGTGCGCGAGCGCGAGCGTGAGCGTGAGCGTGAGCGTGAGCGTGAGCGTGAGCGTGAGCGTGAGCGTGAGCGTGAGCGTGAGCGTGAGCGTGAGCGTGAGCGTGAGCGTGAGCGTGAGCGTGAGCGTGAGCGTGAGCGTGAGCGTGAGCGTGAGCGTGAGCGTGAGCGTGAGCGTGAGCGTGAGTTAAAGTGCGAGTGCGAGTGCGAGTGCGAGTGCGAGTGCGAGTGCGAGTGCGAGTGCGAGTGCGAGTGCGAGTGCGAGTGCGAGTGCGAGTGCGAGTGCGAGTGCGAGTGCGAGTGCGAGTGCGAGTGCGAGTGCGAGTGCGAGTGCGAGTGCGAGTGCGAGTGCGAGTGCGAGTGCGAGTGCGAGTGCGAGTGCGAGTGCGAGTGCGAGTGCGAGTGCGAGTGCGAGTGCGAGTGCGAGTGCGAGTGCGAGTGCGAGTGCGAGTGCGAGTGCGAGTGCGAGTGCGAGTGCGAGTGCGAGTGCGAGTGCGAGTGCGAGTGCGAGTGCGAGTACGAGTGCGAGGGTGAGGGCGAGCGTGTGCGTGTGCGTGTGCGTGTGCGTGTGTGTGTGTGTGTGTGTGTGTTGTGTGTGTGTTGTGTGTGTGTGCGTGTGTGTTGTGTGTGTGTGTTGTGTGTGTTGTGTGTGTGTGTGTTGTGTGCGTGTGTGTGTTTTGTGTGTGTTGTGTGTGTTGTGTGTGTGTGTTGTGTGTGTTGTGTGTGTGTGTTGTGTGTGTTGTGTGTGTGTGTGTGTGTGTGTGTGTTGTGTGTGTTGTGTGTGTGTGTGTGTGTGTGTGTGTGTGTGTGTGTGTGTGTGTGTGTGTGTGTGTGTGTGTGTGTGTGTGTGTGTGTGTGTGTGTGTGTGTGTGTGTGTGTGTGTGTGTGTGTGTGTGTGTGTGTGTGTGTGTGTGTGTGTGTGTGTGTGTGTGTGTGTGTGTGTGTGTGTGTGTGTGTGTGTGTGTGTGTGTGTGTGTGTGTGTGTGTGTGTGTGTGTGTGTGTGTGTGTGTGTGTGTGTGTGTGTGTGTGTGTGTGTGTCAGTGTGTGTGTGTGTGTGTCAGTGTGTGTGTGTCTGTATCCACCATAACTCATGAACCGATGCAAAGAAAAACACCAAATTTTAAACTTAAGCTTTATTCCGGCCTGCGGTGAACTGATTAGATTTTGGGCAGAGTCGGAATATTTGTTGGAGGGTACTTTATTGGTGGTCATTTTTATATTTTATAGAATATATCTATTATTTACATTTGGAGAAGAAAATTCTTCAAATAAAAGTTACTTACAATGTTATTATCTATAATTTTTGTTTTATACAAAATTTTCATAAAATGGTCCGTATTCGAGAAATTTGACAAAATGTAAAAAAATTAATTTTTTATAAAAATTGTCATATAATTCTCTATAATTTTTATTCCATACATTATTTCTCTAAAATGAACCGTATTCGAGATATTTGAGAAAATCTGTAAATTTCGAATTTTGAAGAAAACTCAAAAACCCCATAAAGAAAAAACATTAAATTTTAAACCTAAGTTTTATTTCGGTTTGAGGTGAAATGATTAGATTTTGGACGAAGGCGGAACATCTAGGGGGTACTTTATGGGAGGCCGTTTTTATATTTTATAGAATATATCTGTTATTTACGTTTGGAGAAGAAAATTTTTTAAATAAAAGTAACTTCTAATATTATTTTCTATAATTTTTGTTTTATGCAAAATTTTCCTAAAATGGTCCATATTCGAGAAATTTTACAAAATGTAAAAAATTTTGATATTTAAGAAAATTGTTTGCCATATCGATCTCTATAATTTTTGTTTTTTTTTTACATGATTTCTCTAAAATGGACCATAATGGAAAAATTGGAGGAAAATTATAAAATTTAAATTTTTCAGAATTTTCGAGTTAGATGTATGTGGAAAATGTATACAGGGTGGCTCACGCTCAACGGGACGGAGCTTTATGGGAAAACGACCAAAGATATAAAAAATTCGTTTGGGAGGAATACGTAGGTTACAGACGGCTACAATTTAAAATTTGTTAGATGTATACAGGATATACCACAAGAGAAAATATACAAAGTTATATTATTTTTAATGGAACACCCTGTTTTTTTATTTTAGAATTAAAAACTACATCAAAAATAATGTCAGTTAACTAAAGGTTCCCTATTACTATTATTATTAGTTTTCGATTTATTTGAATTTTTAAGGAAAAAAAGTCTACCAGAAATTAATTGTTTACTCTTGTTTGAATAATTTTTAATGAAATAATTTTTTTTCTTATGTGGGACATCCTGTATACATCTAACAAATTTTTGGTCGTTTTCCCATAAAGCTCCGTCCCGTTGAGCGTGAGCCACCCTGTATATTAAGTAAACCTTTAAATATTTACAGAGATGCTATAATAGGTTGTACAAAATAACCGAAAAAAGCCCGTAATAACTAGATAGGAAAGTCATGTGTTGGACACATCAGATTTTTTAGCAACGGAGACCAAAGTATTACATAACAAACACACATTTTTATCTTTAACTTCTGTAAAAAAGTATTGTTCTTCCAATTCCGAATGAAAGTGGTATGTCTTTACCTTCTTACATAATAGAAGAGGGAGATTTACCTAACTTGAAGCCACTTAAAATCCTACACTTCCTTGAGAAAATAGGATTGGAAGGGTCGCTATAGGTATTGAGACATTTCCTTAGTGCAGTGGCGACAGAAGGGGGCACAATAGATCTTTTAGGTCGCAGTGTATTAACACCCCATTCTCAACATAACATACCTTCTTACAACTGCTTGCCATAATATTATTTTTTGTTGTTCTCTACTAACCCAACCGCTGGACGTTGGTTACGCGTTCAGTTTTAAACTAAGCGCAATGTCGCCAC